ATTTCACTTCTTTCTTCTTCTTAGAGTGCCGTCTCCCTATGGAGGTTGGCAATCATAATGGCTATTTTTATTTTAGAACTTGCTGCTCTAAACAAATCAATCGATCTGCATTGGTACCAATCACGTAGATTCTTTAACCATGAGTTCTGCCTTCGGCCAACAGATCTTCTTCCTTGAATCTTTCCCTGTATTATCAGTCTCAAAATTTCATATTTTGGTCCCCTCATCACGTGGCCTAGGTATTCCAGTTTTCTGGTTTGTATAGTGGTGATTAGTTCTGTTTCTTTACCAACCCTCTCCAGTACTTCTTTATTTGTAATTCTATCAGTCCATGATATTTTCAATACTCTGCGGTATAACCAGAGTTCGAAGGCCTCGATTCTTTTTAAATTACATTTTTTTAATGTCCAAGTCTCAGCTCCATATAATAATATTGAAAATATATAACAGCGAATGGTACGTAGTCTGATCTCCAAATTTAGATTTTTGCACGTTAGGAGTGGCTTCATTCGTATAAATGCTGATCTGGCAATCTCTATTCGTCTGTTTATTTCTACAGTATGATCATTGGTTTCATTGATCAAAGTTCCCAAATACTGATATTTTTCTACTTGTTCTATCACGTTACCATTTATTGTCAATAGGTGATGTATATTTTGTGGCCTTTTTGTAATCAGCATGTACTTCGTTTTTTTAGCGTTTATAGTAATTCCCATCTCAGCACTATTTATACTCAAGCTTTCGATAAGATGTTGTAGATCCTCTATACTCGTTGCTATGATCACAGTGTCGTCTGCATATCTTAAATTATTAATTAATTTTCCGTTAACGGTGACTCCCGCTTCGATATTATTGAGCGTGTTTTGGAAAATTTCTTCAGAATATAAGTTAAACAAAAGTGGTGATAACACACATCCCTGTCTAACTCCTCTACAGATCCTCATTTCTTCTGAGTGTTGCCCATCAATTTGAACTATGGCACTTTGGTTCCAATATAATGTTTGCACTATATTTATGATTTTACTGTCAATGCGCTTGTTCATAAGTATTGATATTAGTTTTTCATGTCTTACTTTATCGAAAGCTTTTTCGTAGTCAACGAAGCACAAGTGTAGATCAACATTTACATCCCGACATCGCTGAATTAATATGTTGATGGCAAATAGTCCTTCTCGAGTACCCATTCCATTTCGGAACCCGAACTGCGTCTCGCTAATATCCTCCTCTAGCCTTTCGTATATTCTCTTATGTATTATTTTTAGCAGAATTTTTAAAGTATGACTCACTTCTTTGGTTCATGAATATTAGTATTTCTTCTGTCATCCACCCTCGTTTTCTTCTTGTTTTTACTGCACTTAATTTTGTTTCTTGAACGGCCGTTAATAGCATCCAGTTTTCTTTAGTAATTTCATCTTTGCTTAATGTCAACTATATTTTATATTCTAATACACTGTTATTTCTTATTTTACGGTATCATTTGATATATTTTCTCTATCAAGAGTAACTGTTTACTTATTAGTCCTTGTAACTTTTTTTTAAACTCAGTCTTATTTTTCCTACCAGAATATTGTGATCTGTTGGTACATCTGCACTTGGTTATCGTTTTACTACTAATACTGAATTTCTGTATCTTTTATTTATACACATGAAGTCTATTTGGTTACGAACCACATGTTTAGGTGTATCTTCTGGTAATCTCCAGGTGTAAAGACGACGCTTTGGAAGTTTGAAAATTGTGGTTGTTATTATTCGTTTCTTTTCTACACAAAAAGAGACCAACATATCTCATATTTTATTTCGTATTCCCAGACCATATTTTCCTATGATATCTTTCTGCTCTTTCGCTAATCTTTGCATTAAAATCTCTCATCAAAATATTGAGCTCATGTTTCTTTGTAGATGCTTATACTTTTTCTAAATCATGACAATAGTTTTCAATTTCTTTTTCTTCATAGACTTGTGTGGGTGCACATTTGCACATGCTTGTAATATAATTCACATTTATTGTTTTTGTTTGTACTTGTAATATTAGTATCCTGTCTCAAAATAGAACGACGTTTTTTACAGCTTTATCTGCTTCGTTACAATTATTACTATACCATGTTTGTGTTTTGAACTGTCTTCTCCTGAATAGTATACAATGTGATCTTCTATCGCTACTTTGCCAGACCCTGGCCATCTTATTTCACTAATTCTAAGTATATTTATAATTAGATGGTAAGTTATTTTATTGTATTCTGAAACTTTCCTGGTTTGTATATGCTTCTTACATTCCATATACCTATTTTTCTTTTATCAGAAAATGTATTCATGCTTGTACCTGATCGGGAGATTCTTAGCACTCTTGCTTCATTTAAGGAAGGCTCGTACTCGGGGCGTTGTATTTAGCAGCTATTTCCTTTAGAAAAGTTAGGCCCTAAGTGATTTCCCGTTGCCTTCTTAGAGTGTGTAGTAGATTTTAAATATAGTGACTTTAAATAACGACAACTTTAAATGAATAAAAAAAAGGAACGAGATCAAATGGAGTCTATTTGATTATTAGAGACTTATTCCCAACAATATACTCAATAAACGGTTCAAGAAATGTTAGGATCAAGTGGTTCTTATAATATTTAATAATGATGAGTTTGAAAAGATAAGAAAGCTGCAACAACACTTAGATGGGCCAAAGATATAAGTAGTAAGTAATTTGATCAAGCATTACAGAGAAGCAAACATTTATTAAATTAAGATAGATATAGATACAATATTAAGAGTAACACTCACTTTCTAACGTATCAAGATTTGAAAACCGTTGAAGAGCTACTACTATTCAGGCAAACATCAACTCAAAGTATTCAGAGTATCCAGATACTAAAAACGAATTATAAATAATACTATTTATTTAACATTAAATATGACTGCAGCGGCCGTGGGAACCGAACTTTATTATATAAACTCTTACTTACTCACCTATATATACTTACATATGTCGGTTATTTACTGATAGCTATTAATTTACACATTTTATTAATTAGTTTAGTACAGTTTAGTACTAGATACCATCTTTTCATAGTAAATATGGGTTTAGAAAAGGTAAAATATTGAAAAAAATTTATTTTATCAAAATATATATTTACTAGAATTTAAGTTAGTGATTGTCCATAGGAAAGATAAATTCTTTTTTATCATTTTCACTAACATTAATAGGTATAAGGAACTGTGTCCAAAATTAGATAAGCATTGCGGTAGCAGATACTTATTTCATTTCAATATTTATAAATCAAATCTATGAAAATAAAGATAGATAAATTTATATTATATAGATGGGTAAATTTTTTGTAGATTTTTTGGATACAGTTTTAATACCTTTCAAGTAGATTTAACGTATATTCTTTACAAAGCCGTACTTTATTATAATGTTTTCTGAAAAATATTCACCACAATGTTTACAAATATTTATATGGATTCTACAATTTTCTGTGAAAATAAAGATTGAATAGACATATATATGATAACGAAGTTAAATGTGTAGACATTCTTTCACTGTCGGTTATTTAATGAAAATAAATGTTCAATAATAAAACATAGCATTGTTTTTTCATTTTCACAGAATATAGTCAACTTAAAGAGTTTTGCTCCAACATCAGATTTCTCAGAAGAATAATAATTTTAAATTATTTCCCTGCGAATTAAGAGTTTATTACTGTTGTATTTAATAAGTAGAGAGCGGTATATATGCAAAGAGCTTATATTGCATATAGTTGCCCATATAATTTAAATAAACCCAGTCTGAGAGACTTGTTCACTTCTTGAAATGACGTTCGGGTGTAACAATTCATTGGAGCGAGGTGTATTAATTCGTATACAAACAGGAATCACTCCACCACGCTCCAATGCTTTAGACCATTTTTCCCTATAGCACTCTGATGCGCGATAGGATCATAATATCAGCCAAATGCTACTTATATGGGATCCCCGGGGTATATGAACTCCAACATGGTTTCCTAACCGAGTCAAATGCAGGCTAGCGTTAGGCGCTCTATTCCTGCTATCCTCTTGTGACTTATCCGCGAATTTGAAATTGCTTATTTTTTGGTAGTGGCGTCGGTTTTTGTTTGTAGTTTATTTTATTTTATTTTGGTGTCCGAAGATGTTTTTGTGTTTTTTTTTAATTTATTTTTTTATCATATTTATCATATGGCGTTAATTGGGAAAGATATTGATGGTTCGCCCAGTTCGC